CGGAACTTTGTCGTTTAGGGAAAGTTCAAGCCATTGCTTCAGCTGCAATATGAGGAAAATAAGTAAACAATTCATCTCATAAAAATTTTCACCACTGTTTCGAAAACTAGAAAGATAATTACCTTTTATATTTTCCGTATACCTAACCATTTCCGAAACAAAAAATAACCGAAAAAATGAAAACCAAGAGAGATTTCTTCCCCAATCCATATTGATAGGAATAATTGTAAAGAGTGACCTGCTCCTTGAGGCGTTCCTCACTCACGCCCAGTGAGCGCATTCCGCGGGCTCGGCATGCTTGTTGCAGTTCAGGAAGAGTTAGGACATCCACTCCACCTTCGAAAGCGATCTCCTGAAAAGAGGAAAACCATTCGCCGATTGATCATTTTAATTTTAACTAATTTTTATCACTTATCTTTAAAACCAAACTTCCAAAAAGTCTTAGTACGAACAGAATTTTGTATTTTCTCCCATTTTGGAATTAACGTTCTCCCTCTTTTAATTGAGCTGGGAACCTCCAGAAAAACCCTACTTCTATCCTAACTATTCAATATCTCTATAATCTTAGTTGGCGGCATTGCATTTCATACAGTGCTTCTGGAAATGAAACGCAGTCACGCACAAGCAACCACCAATTTCCAGTAGTCCGAGACGCTCCTAAGCTTGCACGCCATGGCGACAAGCTAATCCTCTACCTCTGATTCTTAAAAAAAAATAATCATTAAAAAGCGACAGAATTAGCATTGCTTCACCTGATCGTCTGCTTTTAGAGCCCTCAATTTTAATGACAACTGGAAACGAATAATTTCCAGTGATCCAAATGGCTGAATATTCAGCAAGTGGCACAGCGCTCGAAGGGCATTGGCCGGCAGATTATCCAGCGTCAATTCATCTTCAAACAGCTTGATATATTTCAGCAAATCCTTATTGGTCACGTAACTGCCCTCCGATCGAACCTGAAAGAGTTGGCTGCGTGCATTTTGGGGCTTACATATCACTTAACAAGGAGCAATTCTTCTGTCTACGGCTATATTTCATTTCATTTCAGTGCATCTTACCTCTACGCCATCACGGCAGGAACTAATAGCACTTGAATGGCAGCACCGGCCAAGCTATAGTAAATACGGTCAGCT